ATGTGTAGTGTTTAGAAAACTGAGAGAAGGAAGATTATGATCAGCTTTTTTGGCGTGTAAAGATTTGGAGAGCATTAGCCAATTCAATCTTCAAAGTCTTGTTTATATAGCACTGAGATGTTGAACGTTGGAGCAATATTCTTGATTCAATGCTAATAACAAACTTTCCTTATCGAACAGATCTTGTCTGGAATGAGGCCGTTGGTATTAATTTGCTTTCAATGCACAGTACCGTTGCTTACTTAATGCAAGTTCTGGCTTGGCTCATTCTGATTCTGCTTAGCTGCTGATGAACTGTTGTGTTTCTTTATCAGAGAGTTGAGCGCAGTTCTGTTCATCAGACTTCAGCATATACGTGAATTAATCTTCTGATTCTGACATTCTGATATGGCAACTTCTGATGCTGATGTCAGGAACCAAATTTCTGATGCTGATTAGGTGTGATCTTGCTTATATCAATCAGAGTATCTGCAAATCAGAACGTAATAATTTAGGCAGCAGATAGTTCATACATGAATCATATAAATAATATATCTTTTCACTTTGTTATCATCAAAACTTAAATATAGGGTAGTAGATTCAAACTTTGTTCTAACAGGTACCGATCTTCACTCCTTTGCTTGGGTCCTCACCGAGGGGGACGAGCTCGAAGTCCCCGTCTGGGATTGGTCAGAGGGGGAATTTCTCGCCGCTGGGAGGCTCATCCTGGTCGAAACGGGTGTCCAAGGCTATGGAGTCGACCTTTGGGGGAGCTCTCTGTTCTTCTGCCTTGACGGGCTCTTTCTTCTCGGGCTCTGGTCGTGTCATCGTTGGTCTCTTGGCGGGCCTTGTCCCAGTGTCGACCGTGTTACGTCCCTTGGATGCCGCGTTGAAACACCTTCCAGCAGCGGCTAGGTCCCCTTGGATGATGGCGACCCGTGCCCTCTTGGTGTAAAACTTTATCTTCAAGTGGACGGTAGAGGGTACCGCGGTCAGTTCTGTCAGTGTTGGTCTTCCCAGGATGCAGTTGTAGAGGGACGGGCAGTCGATAACGAGGAAGCGCACCTTGACCTGCCTCGTCGTTGTGTCCTCGCCAAAGGTAACCATGAGCTCGACGTATCCCCAAGGTTTGGAGGTCGAGCCGTTGAAGCCCTGTAGGTCCGACCCCACATAAGGTGAGAGGTGTGAGTCGTCGAGCTGTAGGGTCCAGAATAGTTGACTGTACATTACATCGACGGAACTTCCTTCGTCGACGAGAATACGGTGTACGTCAAAATTAGCCATTCTCGCTCTTATTAGGAGAGGAATGACCGCGTTGGGGGCTCCTCCGGGGAGCTCTTCGAGGTAAAAGGTGATAGGCTCCGACCTACCATTCACCCTTTCAAAAGTCACCGTCTGAGGAGGTGCAGAGTCGACCAGTTCATCCAGCTTCCTCTTGGCCGAATTTATGGTTAGGTCGTTGAATCCTCCACCATTAATGACCATGGCGGAGGGAAAGTGCTCCCACTTGTTCTGTGTTGACAACGACTCTTGCAAGTGCTCGGGGACGTAGAAGTCCTCAGGTCTTGTGACGGAGAAGGCGGTCTGGATGGGGACCGACTCGTCAGACGATCGGGCATCCTCCTCCGACTTTCTTGTCTCCCGGGCATCGCGACGAGGAGCGTCGTTTCGCCGATATTGGGCGAGTCTTCCCCCTTTTATGAGGGTCTCGATGGCGTCCTTAAGGTGGACGCAGTCCTCCGTCAGATGAACATGGCTCCTATGGTACTGACAGTATTTGCTCTTGTCCACCCCGGGCTTGACAGGAGCTGGTCGAGGGCGCTTGACGCTGCCATCTTTGAAATCCGTGCTGGCACACTCCGCCAAGATGCGCTCGCGGAAAGCCATGAGCAGAGTGTATTCTGTGAAACGCCCCGAGGGTCCTCTCTGTTCTCGGGCTTCCCGGGGTCTGTCATCCTTTCTTTTCTCCCCGACTCGTCGAGGAGGAGCGGCCTCTTGGCGCGGGTTACTGCTGGATCCGCGAGTTCTGGGATCACGAGCTCTGTTGGACGCTTCCCTTTCCTCGTAATCCATATAGGCCCTGGCCTTCTCGAGGAGAGCATCGAACGTTCGGGGAGGTTCGATGCCCACTACTTTTTCTGAACTCTGTGCCGGGGAGGAGTTCCCTCTCCAGCAAGTATCTTTTCATGTGGTACGCGCAGGGGGCCTGGATGACTTCACGATTGAAGTCGTTGATGAATTCTCTCAAGGTTTCATCCTGTCTCTGGATGATAGCCTCGAGCGCCGCTTCGGTATTTGAATGTCGCCGCGACGCGGTGAACGAGCTTATGAATTGGATTTTCAAGTTTCTCCACGAGGTAATTGACCCCGGGGCGAGACCCTTATAACAATCCATTGTTGCTTTCCTGAGGGTCGTGGGGAACAACCAGTATTTAATGGGTCTCCCAACGTTATGGTAGTGCAGCATAGCTTCGAACCCGTCTATATGGTCGACTGGGTCGGCCACTCCGTCGTATTCCTTCAGGTGATTCTCCATGTCCGGGGGAATTGGAGCCTCCATGATGGCTTGTGATAAGGGGCCGCGGGGGTCGTCCTCATCACTTTGTTATGGGGAAATAGACGGGGACCTGAGGTATTATCGGGTACGACGGTCCTGATCGTGCTGGATGTCCCTCGAGCGGGGCGCTCGTTGGTCCGCCCTCCCGTGCATGTCTCCAGGGCGACTTTTTTCTTGCCGTAAGGGGTCGTGGTTGCGTCCTCCGACTTCAATGTTGGGTTGCCTCTCCAAGGGGGGTCGTCTCCCCGATTATCGGGACGATGGGCTTCGGGAGGTGTCTTTGTATTGTCTCTGCGGGGGAGATGGGAGACGCATCTCTGTTACTCGAGGAGGCGGGGTCTGAGGCCTCATGTGTCTCCTCGGGGTCTTTTGTCGTCCTCTAGCGCCCTCAATCTTTCCCCCTGGATAAAGATGAGGTAGTTGGTTTGATTGATTACCGCAAACAGTACTCTGGTCGTGGCATCTGCCCTAGCGGAGACAGGGACATCCTAAAATTGGGCAGCTAGATAGTTTGGGAGAGTCGTATTGTCTTCTTCGAATGGAGGGGGGACTGAAGAAGATGAGGCCGTAGCTCCGTCCCGGTTGCCTGAGGGCCCGGGGATGACGCCCCTGGGGAGTGTATTATGGTCGGTGTTGCCGGTGTTGTCGGGGATTCCGTTCTTGTCCGCGAGGTTGTTGTTGGCATCGACGATGCGGACATTCTGGTCTTCTCGAGTTTGGTCAGCTATGACGGTGGAAGATGGTTTTTAGCTTTGGTCTTTGAGAGTTTGTGAGACGGGGAAGCTAGTTTCCCACAGACGGCGCTACTGATCTTTCATGATCAGACTTGGACCATCACAACTGACTCGAACTGAATTTGAGTGAGATGGAGGATACCTGCAAGACACTCTGATGCTAAAATGAGAGACGGAATTGACAGACAAAAAGTGTATATGTGTGTAATAGATGAATACCTGACCCTCTTGGAACAAAGGGTATTTATAGCCCCCAGCACTGGGCCAAGGTCCCCTCATTGGGCTGACCAGAATTGGCTCAATCAAGGAACTGTCAGGTTCTACGTGTGTAGTGGGACCCCGCACGTGGTCCCCTTCCTGGTGGAGTTCTGCGAAAAATAAGGAGAGACGAAGACGCGGTCTTTTCGGAGTTTAGAGGATTCTATAACAGTTAGAGTGGACGGAATCTGCCCTACGGAGAGGGTGCTCGAGCTGAACTCGAGCTGGAGTTCCCTTGGTCGGGGACACTGCTTGTCGCGGGCGATGGCGGGCATAGCAGGTCCGTGGTCGGGCACGTTCGGCGATGGTCCGTTTGTGAGTATTCCTCGAGGAGTTGCTTGGATTTGGGCCTTTATCTGCACTTTGGGCCAAGGTGGACCCAGTCCAAAACAATTTTCTTATAAAATTAGTATTATCAAATAAGTTGGTTTATTAACATGTCATTTGGTATATATATTATAATATATTGAGACTAAGAACAAGAAACCACTTTTTCATTTCTAACCTTCCATAACTTTTCTATCACTAAGACACATCTTAAGCTTCGATCCTCATGGTTCTTCCCATAATAACTTCTTAGATTATTAAGAACAAGAAGTCAAGTATGGTCATCATGCAACAAACAAATCTTTGAGAATATTATTCACTTCTATGGACCTCCAAATGCAGGACCCCAACTGACAACCTCGAAGAATGTGCAATACAGACTCAGAGTTACAACAACATGCTGAACATCTCGGGTCAACTGTCATGCCCCTGCGAGCTTGTTGGTCATAACTTCGAGCTACCTTTCGCAGACAAAGTCCTAGTATCTTTAAATCTAGCCACTTCCATATACACTTGAAAACCTTTCCCAGACAAAGTCCTAGTATCTTTGAATCTGTCCACTTCCATATACATCTGAACACCTCGACTATTTCAGCTTCTACTTCAATGAGGGTAGCATATACAAATGAGACAAATTCTCCATCAACTATTTCATTCCAAACAAGAATATCATACCCATAATGGTCACATGAGCTCATTTTAACATAATTAGATACAAAGTAGTAACAGTGCAAATATTGTATTACTTAAAGGTCATTGTAGTACACACAAAAACTTACATAACTAACTTGTTACAAATATTTATTTTAAGTGACTATGTGATATATCTGATCGCATGGACCTGCTCTTTAAAGACATGCTCTCTAAAGAAGAACCGTGTCCGCTTCTGTAAATTGAGCAAATTTCTTGTTATAGTTTAAAGCAACTACTAGCTACCAATATTCGTAAAAAAAACAAATATTGCAATTTACGAAAATAACAATTCTTGATTTTCTGATTTACATTTTACTCAGTTTAAAGGAACCAAATTCCATAACCAATAACCAAAACAAAGTTCACTGTGCTTTGAGGCTACACAAAAGCCAGTATGGTAGAAAAGCAAAAAAAAAAAAAAAGCATGTTCCATTATCTACTTACTCAGAACCTCACATCATCTTGATTCTTTTACTGCTGGAAGTAGTATTACAATTACGTATCCCCCTAGAAGTCACAGAATATGGTGCTGAAGCTGATTTAAGAGAAGGAGACTTGTCAATGTATGCATGTCGTTCATCGCCATTCCAATATAAGATGATCCGGTTTGTGCAAGAATGCGACCAGCTATCACCTGTTCACCATTATACTCGAGAACATTTAAATATGTCAAAATCAATTTTGTTTTTTCCAAAGTGAAGCGAAAAATACACTAAGTGAGATGTGAAAGCTAAGTAAAACTTACCTAGTGCAAGGGTCAATTGAAATGAACCTTCCATATGCTTGATTGTAACTTGATTCAACATAACAACCTGCGAGAAAATTTAACATAACTGTCAAGTTTATAAATGAAACCTAAGGAGGCAGAAAAGAGACAGTAGAGAAAGCAAATGGAAGTTGGATAAAGTATAAACAGCTTCATTAAGCGCTTACAACATAAGTGCTTATAAATTAAATTATTTTCATATATGCGATAAGTTGTTTTCATAAACTAATCTGGAGAGTTTACTAAAATAAGCCGAAAACAAATGACAGACATGTCATAAGTTGATTCTATAAGTTATCCCAAACACTATCACAAGTGTTTATAGCAATAGATAAGTTCAAATAAATTAATTCAATCAGGTTCTAAGGAATTCTCTTGGCGTGTGCCATTGCCAAGGTTTCCGATGGAATCAGATATTCCACAACTACCAAGTCAAGATGTCACATCCATCCCTTTATATAAACAAGTTATTGTTCAATCTTTTAGTTTTTATGTTTTCTTCATTAAAAGGCTCTGTTTTGACCTACTCACTTATTTAGCATTAGAGAGGCTTTGCAGGAAAACCTATTCCTAACTGCCATTTCCAGCAGAATTTGGAGCATTCCAGTGAGTTCAAGCTGAATGTTGTGTTGATAAATAGCAACTATGGGGACACTATACCTCTATAGCATAGCGGAGTTTGGATAAACCGCTATTGTTCGGCGATATGCTATTTAGTACAAAATATTGTCAAATAGCGGCTATAGTGACGATATAGCACTATTGCATAGCAGAATTTTAACAGAATGCTATTTTCCACTATACGTGATTGATAACACTGGTTAATAAAAATAAATTCAATAAAAATAAATTCAATAAAAATAAAAATAAACTCTCTTGCAAGCAAAATGAATTGAATCTTACAGCCAAAGAAAAGTTTCTTGCAAGCTTCATCAACTTTAAAGACATTTCACCAAGTAATCGGGTTCGGAGAGCCATGTCTTCAAAGTCTTGGCGGAAGTGGAAAGTAACACTGTCAATAATGATGATCTTCACCTACAATAATGTACTAACAGTATATCATTAGGGAATACTTAAGTTTCACTAAAACAATCTCAACTAAAAGCAGAAAAAAAGAGATCAAAACACGAGTACTTTCTTCGGCAACAATCCAAGGCAAGTAAGATGCAAAGGAATATGGAAAATGAAAATGAAAATTTGTCTTCAAGATGTTCACTACAAATATCAACTCAATTGATTAAAACCATTCTTACATCTTTATGCTCCGTGACGAATTTATCCAAGTAATTTACCAAAGCAATCTGTTCAGTATAGCTGCAAACACGAAAATAGAATATATTTTCCAAGATACTATTAGGATGCGTTTTAACTCCATAAGCTTGATTATCTTTGTGAAAGTGGTGGCTATATTCTGACATGTCTTCTATGCATGCTTCAGCAATTTGTAGAACACGTTCAATCATAAAGCTTCCTTCAGTGTCTGAGTACACCACGCAGACACAAGAAGTTAAAAATCAATGACCTTTATCAAATGGTGAATGAGTATTAGGATATAATTAAGGGGTATACCAATGTATATTGCCTTTCCACCTAGACCACCATAATCTAGTGGAATCTGAACATTTACCGCAAGTTGAATCCTGCAAAAGCAAACACCACTTATTGCTTTAGATGGACAAAATTTAAATTTAGGTTTCAAAGCATCCTGAAGAAGATTCATTGTTCTTCTCATTTGCATCAAATAATCAATGATTGGTGAAAACTTCACTATTCAAGATGGAAAAAAAGAACAAAATGATGTAGTAAATTGGAATGACAAAGCATACCCTATTTGAGTTTTACCCATGCCTGGGACTCCACCTACATAAATAAACAGAGAATTATATTGTAACTCAAAAAAGGGAAGAAAGAAAGAAAGAAAAAAACTGCAAACTATTAAGGCTCGAAAACAATTATCGTACATTTACTGGAAGCAATAATTAAGAGCAATGTATATTCAAACTAAACAGTCACTCACCTATTTCAGTGACTTCTTTGCAACTAATTCCTCCTCCAAGGATGTTATCTAGATCAGCACAAGAAGTGGTAATGAGAGAAGAAAATCTCTCCTCATTGAGCATATCCCAAGCAGTCTGACCACCTGCTCAACAAAAAAACAGGAAATGGAGAAAACACAGCTGAAAAAATTGATAATTTGGCATACACGAGGGAACATACGTATTTTAGTTGAATATGTAGCTTTGCTAAAATAAAGACGAATAAACAGCTTTCACCAAACAACATACGTATTCTCATGGTAATAGATCATGTCCACGTGTAGATAAACAATTTAATTAAGCCCTTATAGCATGTGCGCTAATCATATCAATCTTATGTATAAGTTGTTTCTATAACACAAAAAATAAAGTCAAAATGTTTTCATATAAGTTATAAGCCGAATCCACTGACTATCCTAGAGAGCTTATAAGTTGTTTCCATAAACTCTCTCAATTAATCTCATAAACTTTGTAGCACCAACAACAGCTCTGAAAATAGACGTGCCTGTGTCCGACACTTGTGATTACCGGTTTCAACGTGTCAGTGTCGGTGTCGTGATTCCGGTATCCGTGCTTCTTAGCTCATAAGTGTTGATGGTAGTCGTTAACCTCACATAGGTCCATCCAAACATGCTCACCAAACAAAACGTCTATTAATTTTCTCATTGAGCATATGTCACATTTACTTGATAGTTCGTTGATTTTCCTCTCAATCAGTAATCCTCACATACTTAACAACTGTCTTAATTTATTGAAGTTTCTATACATGTACAAAGCACAGACACCCCCGATAATAATTTGAAAAAATGAATAAACTAAACAAGCTACAGAAATTAACACATACCATCAATAATGTTAGTATTACTCCCACTTGATCCATCCAAAGCCCTAGTTTTGGTTGCAAATTTCAGAATTTCCAAGGCTTCATTCTCAGAAACTTCTATATCTGTAAAAATCAAGTAATCTGTTAAAAAATTAGAAGTACAAAAAAAAGAGCAAAACCCTAATTGCAGTTCCGTATCAAGTTAGTCCCTGACATTTTTGATATTGCAAAAATATCCCTAAATAAAAGGAAAAGGTAGTTGAAATTGAAACCTCGAGCAAGGTGGATGGTGGAAGTGCGAGAAATGGCTTGGAGCGTTGTGTAACCGGCGGCTAAGAGTTTTCCTCTCTTTGATGCGGAGATTGGTAGCATACCGATTTCCATTTTCCCACTCTTTTCTGCAATTTCTTCTTCTTCGCTTTTTTGGCTCGCTAATTTTTCTAAACGCTTCCACAATTCCAACGGCTTATTTTTCATAAATAATAATTCAATTATTATAAAATAAAAAATAGATCTTTTATGAATAAAATAAAGTAAGATTTTTATATTTTTAAAAATATAAGAAGTAGACTCTCTGGCTTAAGTTTCGTAGATAAAAAAAAAAGTATTTTGCATTTGTAACAGCTACAAAATATGTTTAACTTTTGCTTTCTTTATTTGTTTTAATTTAACACTTTAAATAGGCTTTTTAATTCCAATCGTTTAGAATTTGCTAAAAGCATATCCATTTGGTTCACTGACACTACATTACATATTTTTTTAGGAAAACACAATGACTTTTTAGAAATATCAGTCATTCTAATATTAATTTTGTTCAAACACGTTTAACCTGAAATTACATGCTTTCAGAAGCACAATCCTAAACTGTATGTATTTTGTCTCAAATAAAATACGTAACACTTACAAAATTCAATTATTTTTCTTCCAAATATGTACTTTCCAAGTGATACTGGGAGGTGTGGAAAGCACAGATAGTTAAAAAGACAACAAAAAAAAAAAACAATCCCCAGAAACATTGGCAATCAATTATACTTTCTGATTCAACACTTGTTGTCACTATTGTTTGCTTCTCCATAATGAAAGTAGAGGAATCTGTGCAAGCAAAGATCCCATGAACCCAGTAGGAGATTGGTCATTTATTTCTTCTATTTCATTATCTAAATCCTTCCAGAACTTGATGATATGGAGACTTTCTTCCTCGGTTGATCTTTGAACAACAATCTTAGAAGCATATCCTTTCTTTCTCATTTCACCACAAATCTCTGAAGGATTATTTGCGGTGAGAGTAACCAAATACAACCATCCTTTTTTTGATAAAAGATTGTCTGCAACAGGCAAAATTCTATCGATCACACTCCTTCCATTCTCACCACCAGCCCAAGATGAGGTAATTCCTTCAGACCCGACTTCGTCTTCAGGTGTAGGCACATAAGGAGGGTTCACAACCATTACATCAACCATACCTGCTAGTCGGTTCTCAAGTCCCGCTGCAATATCGGTTATTATCAGTTCGGCATTAACTCCGTGTGCTTCCATTGTTTCGTGTGTCACCTTCACTGCATGTGGGTTGATATCAGTTGCAATGTAATTTACGCCACTGCCTTCCTGCCCAAGAATAAGAGCCAAGGAAGTAATAACATATCCACTTCCACAGCCTATTTCCATACACAATGTTGGATGATGCTCCAATAGGTTAGTGCGATCGGCTAGAAGAGCGTCAACCAGTGCAAAAGAGTCATCACATGGTTCATAAACCTCGTCATGTGAACTAACGAGGCGAATTTGGGCAGTTTTGTGTGAAGCCTATCATTGGAAAGAAAAAACAGATGTTAGTAAATTTAAATGGCTCAATTCACTCGAAGGTAAAAAAAAGGGATTGAGTAAGTAGCAGCAATCAAAGACTTTTGCCGCCTTACCATTGTTGCCGCTGTTTAATTTGTTTGTGATATCTAAATAACTACTTTTTATCAATTCCAATACTGGATTGCTCTGGTCAATCTCCAACAACATTCATAATGTCAGGTTCCTCCCAGCTTCTATGTCCTGAACCCAAGATTGCAGATCTGCAAACATGACAGACAAGTATAATAGCATTAAGTAACAAGTATAAACAATATGAAATTTCAAAATGGTTTAAATAATTTTTCTTTTGGCCTTTGTATACTATATATTGGAAAAAATGAATTATATGAAATGCAAAAACGGTCAAAATTCATATCAGAAATATACAAGAGCAGAGAGTTCTATATATGTATGTTCAAATCTTCTATTTAAGTTGACATGTATTGAACAAAGTCATAAAGTCATTCACCATAGGATTCCAAACTCCAACTTATTGAAGTATGTATTATATCAATTATTGACCGTGTTAAAGTTATACAGCATATTTGCAAGTCTGAACAAAGCCATAAGTAGGGTAGAAGAATTGGCAATCGTAAGCAGGAAACTATTAAGCAAGTACAAAAACAGTGCCGAAAAAACCAAGGGAAACACCGAAATAATTCTGCAAATCAAAATCATATAACACATGCTGTTTAGTCTCTACAGGCATTGGATATTCCACATTTTCATTTTTTGCTCGAAGATAACCAACATAATTATCTCCATAATCCGGAACATCATGTAAATTCGAGAAGCTCCAGTTGTTTTGTTAGCGAAACCAGACATTCATAAATCCAATCAGACTGTGGATGAGACGTATCCCTCACTACAAATTCATGCACAATGCCATTGATCTCAACTGAGCTGCCACCCGGAGTCTTCTCTACTCCTCTCTCATCCATTATTATCCTTGTGCTCCTTGCCTCCTTCCACATTTTTGCCTCACTGTACATGCTAGCAAGCAGAACATAATTTCCGCTATCATGAGGATCAATCTCAAGAAGCTTAAAAGCCGTCCTCTCTCCAATTATAACATTTCCATGAACACGGCAAGCAAAGAATAGAGCACCCAACACAGCAGCATCTGCTGGCATTGGCATATTTAGAACGAGTTTTTCTGCTTCCTCCAAATGACCAGCCCTTCCTAAAAGGTCCACCAAGCATGAGTAGTGTTTAAGGTTAGGGGATACATTGAATTTAGAGCTCATTTCAGAAAAGTATTTGCGGCCTTCTTCAACTAAACCTCCATGACAACAAGCTGATAACACACCAAGAAAGGTGATCTCGTCAGGCATTATTCCAATATTAATCATTTTCGAGAAATAGGATATAGCAACCTGGGCATTCCCATGAAGTGCTAAACCACAAATGATGGCTGTCCAGGTCAAACAATTTCTTTGAGGAATCTCTTCGAAAACCTGGAGTGCCCTTGCAATATTTCCGCACTTGGCATACATGTCGACTAGTGCAGTTCCTAAGGCAACGTCTAGAGAAAGATTATGTCTTTCAATATAATGGTGAATCCATATTCCAACGTCAAGCACTCCTAGTTGAGAGCATGCAGATAGGCAGTTCACCATGGTCACTTTATCGGGTTCTACCATACTAATTTGCATTTCACGGAATAAAGTCAATGCCTCTTTACTATGCTTGGCCTGGACACACCCACTGATGATGGCATTCCACGGTACAACACTCTTTTCTGGAATTTTATACAAAATCTCCCGTGCAACATCTAGAAAACCAAATCTGGCATATCCCAAAACCATTGTAGTCCATGAAATAAGGGTCTTTTGTGGCATGTTGTCAAATAGAGCTCGTGCAGCCAACAATTCCCCGCACTTCACATACATGTCCATAAGTGCATTAGTGAGTGGAATTGTCAACTCGAGATCATGTTCTTCAATGTAACGATGAAACTCTCTGCCAAGATTCAAATCCTGCAACTGAGAACAAGAAGAAATCAGCCCAATCATTGTAATCTCGTTTGGTTTCACTCTCTTTGCCTCCATTTCCCGATAGATTTTTATAGCCTCATTTACCATTCCCCTTTTAACACATCCAGTAATCATGGAATTCCAGGTTACCAAATCTCTCACACGACTTCTATTAAACACATCATACGCTGCACTCAACTCTCCAAACGAGAGTAACATAGTGATCGACGCATTATGAATAAATACATCACATTCAAACCCAAACTTCAACACGTGCCCAAGTACACCAAAACCGACATAATTTAAAGACTGACAACAACAAGCTTTAAGCAACAACGGGTAAGTATGATTATCCGGCTTCAACATACCCCCTTGCAACATCCTCCTATACAACAATAAACCTCCTTCAACGTCTCCACTCTCCACATAACCCCTAATCGTCGCATTCCAAGAAAACGCATTACCTTCATTGATTCGATACAATATCTTAGTACAATAATCAAGGTCCTGCGACTCAGATAAAGCGCAGAACGCAACAAGACGACTCGCAGCAAAACCATTATCGATCAATCCCGTCAATACCATTTGAGCCTGGATTTGTTTCAACTGGACAACTGACTTGCATCTCTCCACGAGCGAAAGTAGAGGGTTTCCCCTGACAAAACTATGGGTAGTATTCCAATTGATTGGTTTAACAATTGGAGACAATGAACTAGTACTGAAAAATGAAACTAAAAAACCTAAATTTCGTGCTATTGGAATCGAACTTGAACTATACTTATATCTATATCTGAACTTGCAAACAGACATAACAATCATGGCTTGAGAGAGTGCTAGTCTAAAATTTCTATTACTTGTTCACAAACTACACAACAATCTTAGGCAACAAACATGGAAAAAATAATAACAATAACAGAATTGAATCATAGAGAGACAAATATGAAGATAAACTCAATGACAAGGATTGGATTGGGTATGAGAAAAACAGTAACAAAACCCTAAATGAAGGAAAGGATTAATGGGGGAAAGGAGAGAAAGTGATTACCGTGGATGAAGCAGAAAAGGAGAGAGAAATGGGTTTTAGGTTTCGGGGTTTTGGGGGAATGAAGAGATGGGGGTGACTCTGCGTCCGGCGGCGAATTTGCGCTTGGTTCAACTCCGGTGGCAGAAAGAAGGGATTTATATCTTTGCACAATTTTTTTCTTAATCTTTCTTCCCAAAGTTTTATATCTTTTAAATAATTCCTCACCAATTTTAATTATGATACTTAAATGTAGTTTTTGTTTTTTCCGTCTCTTTTTATATTTTTTAAATTTTTTATTCTCGTTTTAAAAATAAAATTAATTATCTTAATATTTTTAGGATTTTTAGAACATCATGTATTTGTATTTGAAGGTCACTTTTCATTATTGATTAATTATAGGTTTAATATATATTTTAGTATGTTAATTTAATTTAATGATCTGTTTTAGTTTTTTAATTAAAAAATGTTATAAGTAAGTCTTTTAACTTTATTTTAGTTATTCTATTGGACTCTTTCCGCCAATTTTTATTAAAATACGTTAAATTTTGGTGATGTGGCTATCTAGTTGTATATTTGTATCTGACATGGCATTTTTTGGTTATTAACAATATGTTATTATAAGTTTTTGTTATTTGATTATCTAATTAAGTTCAGTTTTTCAAAATCAATTAACCCTAGTTCATTGTTTCAAACGAAGAGAATACCAAGAGACGGCGAAGTGAGAGTGGCGAAAAATATCTGGTGTGTGTTCAGCTAAGAAGACGAAAAGTTGTGGTTTAGAGTTTGTGTATCTATAGTGTGAAGACGAAAAGTCGTTCGCGTGTTCGCTAAAGTGTGAAGACGAAAAGACACTACGCCAAAAATGATTTTTTGTATCACCTAATTTAATAGCACTTTTAAAAAAAATGCTATTAAAATGGAAAAAACACATTTATAATAGCACTTTTTAATCGGGCGCTATTATATAATACAAACTATGTAATTATGATAGCACTTTGTACCAGAACGCTATTATTAAACTTCTTTAAGATAGCATTTTGTATAAAGCGCTATTATTTGACTACCTATATAATAGCATTTATTAAAAAGCGCTATGTTATATATAATAATGAATTAATTAATTAATTGATTAAAAAAAAAACAAAACACATTTTCAGAAAATTGGGACCATCTTATATTCATCTGGTCTGGCATTCGACCCAATTTCCAGTTCTAGAATCTTCTAGGTTTTCAGTTAACATTTTCTTCATCTGCGAGTTCTTCATTTGTTTGTGTGAAATTTTGTGTAGTTCAATTTCTTTCTTTGTTTTAAGCTCTTTGATTTTGGGTAGTGCGCGTCTTTTCGCGCGAAATCTGAAACTGTAATCAATGCCGTTTGCTAATGCAATCGTTTGATTTGTAATTTGTGTTCAGTGAGGAAAGGTAAATGAATATGAAAAAGATGAAAGTTCCGAATGTTCCCGGTGGTGGTGCTGCTTCTGCACTGATGAAATTGGGAGTTATTGGTGGAATTGGTTTGTATGTTGCTGGGAATAGTCTTTACAATGTTGAAGGAGGTCACCGAGCTATTGTTTTCAACCGTCTTGTTGGTGTTAAAGACAAGGTCGTTTTTTTGCTATATGATTGTTTCTTTAGCTTAGATTGATTAATTGAAAGAGTGGTAGTATTGATTTTGTTGCTTCGAATTAGGGTTTCTTGCTGGAAGTTAAATTTGTATCTTGTTTGATATGCAGGTTTATCCTGAAGGGACACATTTTGTTATTCCGTGGTTTGAGAGGTCAGTCATCTATGATGTTCGTTTGCATCCCCATCTAGTCGTGATCTCCAGATGGTAAATTATAAATCTAGTTTTACTTATACTTGCATGTTGTCGTGAGGATATGGTTTTGATAACAAATTCTTAGAACCACTCCTGGAATTGAAATTTCATATCAGTGATTCTTTTATAGTTTTTACATAAACTCTTAAATGACAACTGTTTATTGAAGAAAAAATTGATAGAGTTTCTATCTCAGCATCTCTTTATATTTAAGAGTTTTTGTCATTGTTTAGCTGATTCCCATTTGTAAAAGCTTTGTTGAAGTGTTTTGATCAACTTCTAGGGGACTATTTTGTTTTTGCATAAAATGGCTATTTTGGATATATCATGTTCAAATGGTAAGATTTTTATGATATAATTAAATCCTGTGGTATTTGATTTTTCTTATCGATTGTAGACATTTCAATTGTGTGTTCTTGGCATCGGAACTTAAATGCCTCATCAAAATCTCATATTCTGAGCTACTGGTTTGGTTTGCTTTTCAATTGAGCGTTATGATGTCTTTGTGTTGACGGATATTCGTGATTTTGAGTAGCTGTAATGAGGGTTTTAGCTTTTGTTAACAAAAGACCACCGATGGCCACAATAGCTAATGGTAGCCCTCCACATTTTTGAACAATTTCTCTGGACATCTCCTCAAGTTCTGTTGGACAGTGCCCTCTAAACGTCTTGTTGCAAAACAGCTCCCATGCTTTGTCTAGAGGCAAACGTTGTAGCTCATGGACATGAACAGGAAAAGATTTCCTAAAATAATCAGCTACATGCATTTTTCTAGTAGTCACAATGATTCTACTTCCTTTGTTATTACTAATTAAGGCATGTTCAATCCCATCAGAAAAATTATCTTTCCAGACATCATCAAATAAAACCAAGTACCTTTTTGACTCAAGGTATTGTCTCACTTGATTAATCAAAGTTTCATCATCCATATTCTGCAGACCCCTTGGAATAGGCTCGTTGCTGTCCTTGCAAAATTTCTTTATCATTTCTGTCAACAGCTCTCTGATGGTGTACGATTGCGAAACAGTGATGAAAGATCTACAATCAAAGTTCTTTTTCACTAGCTGGCTATCAAAAACATGCTTTGCGAGAGTAGTTTTCCCGAGTCCTCCCATGCCAACCACAGCAACCAACATGAGCTCATTGTTTTCCTCCACCAAGCATCTGACCAATTCATCTCGCGCGGACTCAAATCCTACAACTTGAGTCTCTTCAATGAAATACGGAGCCATTCGAGGGTCACCAATTCTAGGAGCTTTAGTCCTTCCTGCTTCATTTTCAGACAGAAACTCGAACCTTGTACTTCTTTCTTTGATTCTACCAAGTGATAACTTGATGTCTTGAATCTCAGAAGCAATCTGGTGATGCGGATTCATGGTTTTGATCAAACCAGGAATCATTTGGAGTGCAGATCTGAATATAGAATGACTGGCCCTCTCTGCCAAAAACATGTTGTAGTAATCAATCACATCTTCTATGCGAAAAGACGCTTCTCTCACCTGCTTCACCCAAGTTTTGACTCCATTGGATCCATCATCATCATCAGCAGCCTTTGTGTCTGCATCCTTGAGGAAGGCTTGGATGCTCTCAAGTTCATCTTTGATATCATTGAAGTCTCTTTCAATCCCTGCTACTGAATTTCTTTCTTCTACTGTATATTGGCTAGTTTCTTTTATTACAAATTGGCCTAGTTCTTGTAAAACAAATGATACTGCAGTTTCTGCCATATCATTTCAATGTTTTCATCAATCAGATTAGCTTTTGCAAGAATATTTTTTAGCAATCAATTAAGTTCATGTAAAGTGCATTGCTTTTGCAAGAATATTTTTTTAGCAATCCAATTAAGTTGACTAATGAATAGTTTAGTCTACATGGCAGTATTTTTCTAATGTAGTGTGGACAGATACATGGTCCAGTTTTAGCTCGGGATTTTTATTTAAAAATGTATCCAAGTCTGCGTTAAAATTTGAACTGGATTATCTCTATCCAATGATTATGGATGTGCCAAATGCATGAATGCTTCAAATTATTGACTGCTGGCAATCTGATTTCCTCTGTGCTGGCTGATCAAGTTATGTTTTGTTAGGAGTTGTTTCGGAACATTTTATGTTTAACATTGATGTTTTCAGCATCCTGCCGCGTCTGGGTTAAGGTTTCTGCCTTTTCTGTATCTGTATCTGTTGTCATTTATTGATTTCTTAAACTACTTCATTTTCATTTCTCTATTTAGTTGTCATAAATTTGTAACTTTCTCGAATCCCCCTTTTTCGCATATGCACAATATTTCAGTAATTATGAATAGTAGTTATAAGGAGCCAAATATAAATATTCAAAAATATTTGTGGATTAATTAGTGGCCGACAGCTTGATAGAAATTTTAATGTTTATTATTTTGTATGCAATTGCTTCTTGTATTGTTACTGGTAGTCATCGGAGACATCACAAGGGAAGTTCCAATTCTTAGTTAGTATGAATTAGTACATATATCATATATGCTTCGATTTTATCCTAAGTGTTACATATCGGAACAGCAGAGGTGTTTTCTCCACTAGGTTTTAAACTTTTAGTGTTACATGTATTTTCTTTGCAGGTCAAAACTATTAAAGTCAGTAATGTTTCCTTGGGAGCATATGAACAAGACCTTAAGGAGTTCTTTTCCTTTTCTGGTGATATTGAATATGTTGAAATGCAAAGGTCAGTGAGTTGCTGTGCTTGGCGGTCAACTATTTTTTAGAGTGCTTCAAATCTTAAGTTTCATTATACAATCATATGTTTAATATTATTGCAGTCATGACGAACGATCTCAAATTGCCTTTGTCACTTTCAAGGACCCACAAGGTGCTGAGACTGCAGTACTACTATCGGTAATATTCCTGACATTGATTATCTGTGGATATATGTGTATCAAATATGGTTATTTACGAATTAGTGAAGTATCTCGAGAAGTTGATCAATTTGTCCTGGATTGTCATCCAAAGCATCATATGTTCATTATATATAGTTCCGGGCTTAGAACTACAGCATTGTTTGTCATTATCCAAAAGGCATCACCTTTGGATGACATATTCAGCTTTTTGGCTAGATAATGCAGTATCAGTGAATCCCGTAGAAAACTGTTATTTATCTGAAGTTCTTGAAGTGCCACACGTTTAGAAACTCTTACTTGGGAGGGTTTCAGAAGTCTGTTTTTGTTGAATGTCTTGCTTTCAGCCCTTCCAAAGTATGGATGCTCCTCTGTTGGTGGTATATATGAAGCACGGACACCTTGAACACAACACCGACACCGACACAACAGCACTGGTAATCATTTGAAAAATTGAATAAATTAAACATAATCACAAGTGTAGGTGTAGGTGTCCGACATCGACTCGGACGCGCCTTTTTCAGAGATGTCGGTGCTACATAATATATCTGTCATTTCTCAAAAGGTGCTTCTCATGTAATCGGTCATACTTGTTGATTAGTCTTCAAAGTTCCCCACTATTTCCATCTCTGCTTTTCACCCAGTCTCCCAACATTCAGTCTCATTATTTTTAGGGTTTGTTTTGTTGATGTGGTCCTTTTCAGCTACTTTATTAGGCAATTAGGAATAGGTGTCATTTTTCCTATTCATTTCACATGACCAAGTTAAGTATTATAAAAGAAAAGTGATTTTGGTAATCATTTTGATGCAACTGTTAGTTCAAATTGATCATCTTCTGTTTCATTTTGTCACCAACAAGGGTTTTATTGCTAACCGCCTTCTTATGATATATATTACCTGTTTTGGACTGGTTCAATGACTAGAATTGGCCAAATCCGATTTCACCTTTGGCACGGCCCAATAATATCGGTCCAGCATTACGGTCGACCACGCCCTCGAACGGCCCGACCAACAATGCTCGAAACGCACGCCTGTCCGTGCGGGCAGCTACCTCCCAGACAACCAGGAAGGCGCTCGAAACGCGTCTGCCCGTCGTCTCAACCTTGCTCGACGCAACGATTAGTTACGGACACGACTGTCCATTTTGACCCAGTCCTGACAGTTATCTATTTTTGCAGACCCGCATATCTAGGTTCAAAAATAGGGACCAATGACTACGCGCTGGGGGAACTATATAAATCCTCACACTTGAGAATTTGAATTATATTCTGTTTAGTATTTATATGCATCTAATAATGGAAATTGTGGTCTATATATTTACAAGTCATGTTCTTGTTAGACTTAATTAGTTCAATTATTGCATTAGTTATATCGATTTATTGTTATTAGTTTATAATAATTATTCCTTATTTTATGCGCTTCTTGTTAGACCCATATTAAATGTTTGATTATTCTTTATATGTTGAATTAGTTTTTATTGTACAATACATAATCAATATTCCTTCTATGATACAGGAAAACAAGAAGCAATTATTTTGCCTAATTAGTGATTGTATCTATGAGTTCAACGCTTTTGGATCATGAAGGTGGTTACTACATGAGATTGTTTTGTTATCCTTTCTTATTTTTTTGGTGTTTTGTTTAGAGAATTTGATTGTATGTTTTTGGATTTGGATTGAAGTACTCATAGATGGGCATCTACAAATTTGGCTATGCAAACGCCCTCTTAATATTCTATATGTTATGATATTTGAAAACAATAGGATTTGGTAATTTAAAATGTTATTTGGTATTTGATGGATCATAATATATATGCAATGAGTAACTTAAAGCGTTATTTGTGTTGAATTGAATATAGTTATTTTATATTTACACCAAAAAAAATGATTGTGTAAGAAAAAATATTGTACTGTACTTATTAAAAATATTGTACCAAATATGTACCATTTATTAGCACTTTATTTGAAAGCGCTATCAAACATATGTTATATATTAGCGCTTTTTGTTTAGAGTGCTATAAAAAAACAAACAAAAAACATGCAAAATACTGACTTTGATAGCACTTTAATTAAAACGCTATTATAAATTGGTACTTTAATAGCGCTTTTAAAGTGCTATTAAATAAGAAATATTTACAATAGTGGCGCGGTTAATAGCACTTTTAAGCGCTATCAAAAACAAAAAAAAGCGCTATTAAATAGCTTATTTGGCGTAGTGAGAAGTGATAAATCCTAGAAATTGCAAAAAAGGAAGACATTCAAAGAGAGACATTGTTGATTTCCATTCTTCAAAAGGTACATTTAAAGCAAGTATACTTTATGATTTTATGTAGTTTCACATTGTTATTGCATGATAAAAATTGTAACTTTATGATTGCTTCATATTCATAACTTATTTCGTATAGAGTATTTCACTTGAATAGGGAATAGATAATGGTTTTGAGGTTGTTGTGCATCATGCTGGTGAATTTAGTGAGTTTAGTGAGTTTATGAAATTAGGTTATCAAGGGTTAAAGGAGGTTTAGAAATGTAACCCTAATTACTAGAGCTATTTTGAAGTGTTAAGTGGTTTGAAAGAGTTGGGTTATCCAATAGTGGAGAGCCTTGTGGTATCATGATGCAATTAAGATTAATGAAATTGTTCCATTGAAGGATGACACGGGTGCAAATAGGATGAAAACCATTGCAATGGTTAATGGGAATGTCCATTTATACGTCTTCCATCCAATTCTACAATTTGATATCTTAGAAAAGTCAGTACTTTTACTTGAGTATAATGTTGTAGGACCTAGTGAGAAGGTATGGAATGGTGTGCAAAAAGACAATATGAATGAAGTGAGTAATATAGTATAAGACATATTGGAGGAATTGAATAATGAAGTAAAAAATAAGTTAGATAAGACCACTGAATTGGGTGAAGAGAGTAATGAGAAAGGTACCCCTGAGGGAGGGAGCACTGAGAATGTTACCACTTAGAGAGGGATCACTGAGAATGTCACCATTGATGGGACCACTGAGTTGAACTAAGAAGTGGATAGGGGAGTTGACTTGAACTTAGAAATAGACGAGGGACTTGAATGCAATCAGGAAGAAGTTAAAGGACTATATTGTAACCAATATAAAGAGGGACTAGAAAAATGTGTGTGGTTCGATTTGGTTCGGTTGGCTTTTAGAAATAAAACTGAATCAAACCAAACCAAATCAATACAGTTTATGTTGGTTTGGTTGGTTCGATTTTTAAAAAAAAAATTATTGAGTCATATATATATATATATATATATATATATATATATATATATATATATATATATATATATATATATATATATATATATATATATATATATATATATATATATATATATATATATATATATATATATATATATATATATATATATATATATATATATATATATATATATATATATATATATATATATATATATATATATATATATATATATATATATATATACATGACAACATAACTTTGTATTTAACCATTTATGATAAAATACAAAAATAATATTAAAGAAAAGTGGAATAAAAATATAAAATAATAGCATAAAGCAATATCATAAACATTATAATGAATCGCAATAAAAAATCATAAACTTATGGGTGTTTGCAATGCGGTTTGGGCGGTTTTGACATAAAAAATCATCTGAATCGCGAGAGAGAAAAGTGTGTGATTCGGTTTGGTTCGGTTGACTTTTAGAAATAAAACTGAACCAAACCAAACCAATGCATTTTGGGTTGGTTTGGTTGGTTAGATTTTTTTTTTTTAATTATTGAGTCATATATACATATATAGATGACAACATAGTTTTGTATTTAATCATTTATGAGTTATCAAATAACAACAAAATTTATCATTTTTGAACAACAATTTTCCATTTAATATATCAAAATAATATTAGAGAAAAGAAGAATAAAAAATATAAAATAATATCATAAATATTATAATGAAAATAGAAAAACAAAGGATATGAAAGATTATAGAAGATGAAAAAGAAAGAGCTGAAGAGATGAGAGATTAAGAGAAGAAGATATGCATTTAAAACATAATTAGAAGAGAGAGTAGTAGAATAAAAATAATAAGATGAAAAATAAATAAAATGAGTGATTAGAGACTAGAGAAGAAGATGTGATATGTACTTGAAAAAGAAGATGAGAAGAATGTACAATACAGCTAAGAGAGATTTGAGTGTTAGACCATAATATATAAATTGATCCTATGTTCCCGATAACAAAAGAACAACAAAATCAATAAACTAAATGCAGAAATAAAATTAAAGGTTTACCTCCAGTCATTGTTGCAGTGTTGTGAGTGGACTACCTTTGATTCTTCCAAGTTCTTGCTCTCTTGATATAAATGGTGTAATTTTTAAAGCGATTAGAGAAAGCTTTAAGGACCAAAGACTATTTATAGGCTTGATTCTACCATCAAGAATTTAAATCCATTAAAATCCATTACCATCCAACTTAATTATCGTATCAATTTTCATTAAAACCAAAATAAATCATACTCTTTTCAGAACCAAAATCTCGCAAACGATGGACCACGTTAAAATTGGTTTTATTAATAATGATTATTATTAAAATTAAAAACTGTTACATTCTCCCACTTGGTCCATAGAACTGATTATTGGCATAAATGAGTCATGAAAACCTCCTCAAAAAATAAATATGTGAGTCATAGAGATAGTTCCTCTTTAAGCGAGTAGTATCATCTATGTATTACAACATGTCTACTTTCAAGTTTATATATGTAACGTGGTAACTAAACTTTATGAATAAACCAATATTTACTCTTGGTCCAGATGTAACATATTTTCTCAAACTGATGTGTGCATGAAAATGAGAAAATGTCACAATATAAGAGTTTTATTAATAAACTATGTGTATACAATCATAAGGTGGACCCAAGTCCCATGTTCTCTACACGATCCTTGAATTTTATTGGTGGCGTCCTATCCTTAGTCAAAGGATCAATGATCATTATATCAGTACTTATGTGATTAATAACTACTATTTTATCTTTAACTTTTTCTCTAATGACTAAATACTTTATGTCGATGTGTTTGTTTCGACTTCCACTTTTATTATTCTTAGCCATAAAGACAACAACTGAATTATCACAAAACATATTCAAAGGTCTAGAGATATAATCCATGATTCTAAGCCCAGAAATAAAACTCTTAAGCCATACACCATGAGAAGTAGCCTCAAAACAAGAGACAAACTCGACTTCCATAGTAGAAGTAGCATTCAAAGTTTGCTCAGTACTTCTCCATGAAACAACTCCATCGGCCATCATAAGAATGTATCCTGATGATGATTTGCGAGAATCAACACAACCACCAAAGTAAAAATATGAATAGTCTATCACATCTAGATTCTCCGTCTGCCTATACATAAGCATGTAATCTTTTGTTCCTTTAAGGTATCTCAACACCTTCTTTACAACTTTCTAGTGGTTCATACCTGGATTACTCTGATATCTTCCTAAGATTCCTACAACAAATGCAATATTGGTCCTTATGCATACTTGAGCATACATAAGACTTTCAACAATAGAAGCATATGGAATGTTCTTCATTTGTTCACGCTCAAAATCATTCTTAGGATATTGGTTTAAGTTGAATTTGTCGCCTTTGACAATGGGAGCAACACTCGGTGAACAATCTTTCATTCAAAATCTCTCTAAAACTTATTGATGTAGGTTTCTTGTGATAGACCCAAAATTCCTCGAAGTTTATCTCTGTGGATCTTAATGCTAATGACATAAGATGCCTCACCCATATCCTTCATATCAAAGTTTTTAGAGAGGAATTGTTTCACCTCATGTAGCAAGCCTTTATCATTGGTTGTAAGTAGTATGTCATCCACATACAAAATGAGAAAACAAATTTTACTCCCACTGGCCTTTTGATATATGCATTGATCCATGGGATTTTCAATAAACCCAAACAAATATATTGTTCCATGGAATTTAAGATACCATTGAAGAGAGACTTGTTTTAAACCATATATGGATTTCTTAAGCTTGCAAACCAAATGCTCACCATTATTAGAGGATAAACCTCCAGGTTGTTTCATATAAAACTCCTCCTCTAAATCACCATTAAGAAAGGTTTTTTTCACATCCATTTGATGCAACTCAAGGTCAAAATGTGCAACTAATTCTAAGATGAAATGAAGAGAATCTTTCTTAGATACAGGAGAAAAATTATCAGTGTAATCGATTCCCTCCTTTTGAGTAAATCCCTTAGCCACGAGTCTGGACTTGTATCTCTCAATGTTACCTAATGAATCTTTCTTTGTTTTAAAGACCCATTTATAACCAATGGACTTTGCCCCCATTAGGTAACTCTACAAGATCCCATATGTCGTTGTTTTTCATGGAATTCATTTCATCATTCATGGCATCATACCACAAATTTGACTCTTTGCAACTCATGGCTTGTCTAAAGCTCTCAGGATCATTCTCAGCTCCAACGTTATAGTAAGATTCTTTTATATACACAATGTAATCATTAGAAATAGCTGATTTTCTTGTCCTAGTAAACCTCCTTAATGTTTGATCAACATTTTCTTATGGATCTTGTTATTCAACTAATTGTTCATCATTTTGATGACCAACTTGATCTACTAGATTTTTAGTAGCTTGTGGAGTCTCAATGATTGGTTGATCAACATCAATTTGAACTTGATGGATGTTATGAATAGTAACCAATCTATAACTTGAAGTGGAAGGTTTATGATCTATATGATCATGCATAGAAATTACATTTTTGATTTGATCACTTCCACTAATCAAATGATTTTCAAGAAACTTTGCATTTCTTGACTCCACAATTCTAGTTGTGTGTGATGGACAATAAAACCTATAACCTTTATACCTTTTAAGATATCCAATGAAATAGCCACTAATGGTCCTAGGATCTAGTTTCTTTTCTTATGGGTTATAAATCCTCACCTCAGACGGACATCCCCAAATGCGCATATGTCGTAAACTTGGCTTCCATCCTTTAAATAACTCAAATGGCGTCTTTGGGACAACCTTGGATGGAACCCGATTTAGAATATACACAAACGTATTTAGTGATTAATTCCATAGTGATTTAGGAAGATTGAAGTTGCCAAGCATGCTCCGCACCATGTCCAATAATGTTCAATTTCTTCTTTTTGTAACCCCATTTTGGTTTGAAGAACCGGGCATAGTGTATTGGGCAACAATCCCATGTTCTTAAAGAAATTTAGCAAATAGACCAGGTGCTTGTCAACTCTCATTGTATCTACCATAGTATTCACCACCCCGATCTGATCTCACAAATTTTATTTGCTTTCCACATTGGTTCTCAACTTCAGCCTTAAAGACTTTGAAGGCATCTAATGTTTCATATTTATTATTAAGCAAATAAATATTCATATATCATGAGTAATCATCTATGAAAGTGATGAAATATTTATGACCATGTGCGTTTGTTGTACTCCAAAATTTACCCTCCCATTTTTCAAGACAAATTGATTCAAGATACCTCCTCATGCTCCTAAGGGTCTCAAACACTCAAGACTATTCAAGAATTGATCGGATGAACCCTCCTCCTAAGTAGTGGCCTACAATTAGGGTTTTAGTTTTCTCAAAGAAAATTGAGTTTCTAATGCCTCAAGTGAGTTTCATGGTTCTTCATATGCTTCAAACAATCTTCATGTCAAGTTTCAAGCCTTGCATCACAAGTTTGCTCAATCAATTGCTCAGATGATTGAAAATCAACTATATTGGACAAAAAGTCAATTATGGTCAACACACAATCAAAACTCAAGATTTTTGGTCAACATCAAGA